ATCGTATCAATTTTGCTTTGTAATATATCTGCTTTTACATGTGGAGCGACCTGGATCAGGCGCTTCAGGACATGGCGGGCTGGCTTAGACTGAGCCAATTGAAATTGAATCTGATGAAGATGGAGGTCCTGTGCCTGAGTCGGAGCAGATCGGGGGTAGGTATTCCATTACCGACCTTCGATGGGGCACCATTGGTGCCAGTGTCGAGTGTCATGAGTTTGGGAATGCTCCTGGATGCCGCCTTAACAATGAAGGCCCAGGTAGCAGCCACTGCCGAGGCAGCCTTTTAACATCTACAGCTGATTAGGCAGTTGGTTCCCTTCCTCAAATGCAATGACCTGGCAACGGTGATCCATGCTATTGTCATCTCAAAACTGGACTACTGCAACACTCTCTACATGGTGCTGCCCTTGTCCCAAATCCGGAAGCTGCAGCTGGTGCTGAAGGCATTGCACTGGCTGCCAATAGCATACTGGATTCGCTTCAGGATGTCTGTTGTGGGGAGGGGGAGGGAAAGGAGTTTGTAAGCCGCTCTGAGACTCCAAGTGAAGGACGGGGTATAAATCCAATCACTTCTTCTTCTCTCTCTTCAAGGTGCTGTTTTTGACCTTTAAAGCCTTATATGGTCGGGGGCCTGTCTACCTGAGGGACTGCCTTTCCCCATATGTCCCCCAGAGAGCACTGAGGTTAGGATTGCAAAATCGCCTGACTCTCCCTGGTCCAAAAGACGCCAGATTAGCCATCACCAGAGCAAGGGCCTTCTCAGTGATGGCTCCACACTGGTGGAATGAGCTCCCGGAAGACATCAGGGCCCTGGGTGACCTGTTACAGTTCTGCAGGGCCTGTAAAACGGAGCTCTTCCACCAGACCGATTTGGAGCTGCCACTGGTGAATGAGCTATTAACAACTGGACTATTATGGACCCCATGCTACTGGCATCTAGAACAACTTCAGACACCACCCTAGCTTCATCGGACCACCTCATAGAAATTCGTCTACTGGATTCTACCGCACTTTACGTAACTTATTTGTTATTTGAAATTTTACAATATTGTATTTATTTGTGTTTTATTGCATTTTAAACTGCTGTATGCCGTCTTGAGCCTGCCTGTGCAGGCAAGGCGGGATACAAATCAAAATTAATAAATAATAAATAAATACTTGTGCAAGAAAGCAGGCATAATCATGCAAACTGGCACATTCATCAAACACTGGGCCCTCCCTGCTTGCATCCAGTAAGCAGAACATGAGCCAAACCAAGTATAATTTAAGACCATTTTTACATCACGGCCAAGAAATCAGAATTCTGGTGTAAAGACAATAATTCCAAGGACAAGGTCGCAAAGAAGAATGTGTGGCAGAAGAACTTTGATGTGCATCCATATGACTATCTATCTCTGCTTAAAAAAAATGGATATAGCGTCATGTTCTCAGAAGTTGGAATGAGTGATGCTTGCAATGGGATGTTCCTTATCTGCAATTTTTAAATATCTGTGTTTCTTATGGCATTTAAAGGAGCTTCTAAGTGGAACTCGGAAAACACCAGACTAGAAGAAAGAAAAAAGGACTGTAAATTGGTAGGCCTTTAAAGCTTAGGGGAAAGCTGATGGATGGGAGAGGCAAGTTGATGGGAGGCTTATTAAATCATACCTGGAGAGGATAGAATGTAATGATCCATTCTTTCAGAATACAAAAATAATGACCAATTGGTACACCAAAATAAGCAATTTTCATGCAGCCTCTGGAACTCATTGCCACTGTATGTTGCCCATTATAGTTTCTAAAAAAAAGTCCGATGATGAGAGAAAATGTCAGTTATTCACTCTGCTGATTCTTGACTATAGAAGAAATAATTAATGAAACATCTGTTTAAGTACTCTACTTGATACTATCGGCAAGCTTATGATGTTAATATTGTTTGATGTCATAAATGTCCTTCTCGAAAGACACTTTGATAATTTCATGTTGCTTCTTAGCTCTAATATAGATTTTAATGAGTCATCAATGTCTAAATAGCTTTTTAAAAAATCATTGACTGGCATGCCCATGGCTTGTTAGTCAAAAGATCTGGTACAATAAATGTCACTGTCACTTCTTTCTTTTTGAAGTTGTGTGTTTAACTAGAATATTTGTCTTTCTGTGTCAGGGTGCCATCAGAAAAGATCATGGTGTTAAAGATCACACTATTTTAATCACTTGCTACTTATTAATAACATACTGCAACTTTAAAATAATTGGAACTCCAATCAATGTACAATTTGACTTTATCGGAGGCGGCACACAAATGCCCTGGAGCCAGAGGCATAGTGGTTGGTGTTGGACCAGTTGTAGGAATATCTGCTCTGTCTGAAGCTCATTGGGTGACCCTAAACCAGTTGTTTTCTCTCCAGTGATTTTTGCACAACCGGTTAAGCTGCAGTCTTACACATCCCCTTAGTGGGGAGTCAAGTTGAATGAACTCCATAGAATTTACTGTGTGAACAGAACTGGGCTGCAACGCTTTAGGGAATATTGAAGAGTATTTGCTGCATGAGAGGCAAGGCCAGCTTTCCCTATTACTGTATCTTCCAGTTTGGTGTAGTGGTTAAGTGCGCGGACTCTAATCTGGGAGAACCAGGTTTGATTCCCCACTCCTCCACTTGCACCTGGCTGGATGACCTTGGGCAAGCCGTAGTTCTGATAAGAGCTGTTCTTGAAAAAGAGCAGTTTCTGTCAAGAGCTTTCTCAACCCCACCTACCTCACAGGGTGTCTGTTGTGAGGAGGGGAAGGGAAAGGAGTTTGTAAACCGCTCTGAGACACCTTTGGGTAGTGAAGGGCGGGGTATAAATCCAATCTCCTCTTCTTTTCTTCCTATAGGAAATGTGTTGGGTGTTACAAGTCAAAACACTTCAGTATTTACAGGGTTAATTATGTTTGTTATGATCAATAGGAAGTCACATGTTTGTTTGTAAACAATCTGTTTAGACAATAGAATGCCCAGGAACTTTGGAGCTAACTTAATAGTCTGATTGGAAACCAATGTGTCAAGTATTTAGCATATTGGCTTCTCCTTCCTGTCTTTGTTCTGACTACAGAAGGAGACTCCATTCTTCCCGTTTTACCTTTTAGCTGTAAGGATGTAGGCATTGTAGCTCTTTTTTATTTTATATCCTGTGTACCTTTTTCCCATGTTAGGTTTATCGTAAACTTTTATATTTTAATACACACCATGGATTCAGTCTCTTACTACTTACTCAGTTAACATACTCAGTAAGAATCCCAACAAAATGCTACCACTGTTGAATAGCTGTTTGCAATGCAGCATTCAGGATACCCAACTTGGGCAGGGAAAAGGACCTCCACTAAGAAAATGGATTTGCTGAGACTTGCATCTCTATTGTACTACATGTCGGAATGGAGGGATTATAATGAACATAAAGAAGTTCTCACTGTTTGTTTTGCATGGGAATACTACTAGACACCCTTTGTGAGAAATTCCCAGGAGGGCGAGCCTGGAAAAGTGAGGTTTAGAGAGGGGGGAGACCTGGTAGGGTATAATGCCAGGCAGTTCAGCTTCCAACGCAGGCTTTTTCTCCAGAAAATGTAGAATAGATGTATTAAATAAACACATAAATTATTTCTGTCGTCCAGAGATCCCTTATAATTCTGAGAGATCTCCAGCCCCCCACTTGGAGGTTAGCATTTGGCAACCCTACAAGAACGGGTCTCCTTCTCCCCCCCACCCCTTTTTTTCAGGGAGACCGGTTCCAGGGAACAAACCTTTTACATTGCCAGAGAGGTCCGGGATTTTCTTCCCGTCTGGGGAAGCCATCCCCCACCAACACCCCCATTCAGGTGGGCAGCGGGTTCCCGGAACTTTTGTAAACAAGAATCACCACGCCCGGCCCCTAGGAAGAGTACCGAGCCGAGGACTTCCTTCTTCGAGCTCAGAACGTGGACATCGGTTCTTTTTTGTATTGCTCGTGTGCAACACAGCGGAATCAACTCCCATCGAGTTGCTATGCTTGAGGGAAGACAGGATAGCCCAAGGAGACTTGTTCTGTCTCAAGTATCACGGCAATCCCGTGCGCAGGTGCTCTATCATTTGTTTCAAGCATTCTCTTATCATCCTTCCAAGGCTTTGATTCCGCCTTTCACAAAATCCATTGAAAACGACAAGTACCGAATCGTAATAAATTATAGTGTTTGCAAATCCGATGGAACTCAGCCGTCCTTCCAATCCAAATACTAATGCATAAAGTTCCAAGGGAATTTTATTTTATAGCCGACAGCCCGTTTGCTGCACCCCTGGTTGCAACACCCCGTCTCTCGCTCTCTTGCTGTGTGAGAGAGAGAAAGAGGCGTATACTCCCCCACATTTCCCCCCACCCGCTGATACAATAAACGCGCAAACCACGCCCCCAATAATCTCAGACACCGCCCCTCCGTCCTTCTTACAAAACATTGACACGTGCTCCAGTTTCCTCTCATCACGTGAGGTGGGAGCCCTGTGGCGTCACAACGCCTAGAGCAGCCAATCGCAAGCCTCAATATGGGGTGGCAACAAGAGCGATGCGGCCCGCCCAATCAGTGAAAAGCAAAGGGGTGGGCAAAGAGAAGATCCTTGTTGCTTCGGTCAATAACAAAACTGGAAACGCCACCGCTGCAGCTGCTGGGCTAGAATAAACGTTGGTGAGACTTTGCAAAAAAAAAGGGGGTGTCTGGGGAGGGGAGGGCCACGGAAAGGGGTAGAGAAGGAAGAGAGAGAGAGATCAAGGTTCGAGGCTTTAGGTCGAAAAGAATTCTTCAAAAGAGTAAGGAGCAGCCCTGGGACAAGCGGGGGAGGGGCTGCTAAAATTGCAGGAGGAGAAGCTGGGGATTCTCCTTTTTTGTTCCCTCTTCACTTTTCTTCAATGTTTACCCAAGCAAAGTAAATCTCGTAATGGGCTTCTTTAAAGCAGGGGTCCCCCCCCGTCAAAGTATGGTTGTAAGTGTCTGGAGAGACCCGGATCTACAGCACAGCCCCCTTTCCCCACCCCCTTGTCTTTATAGTGTGACTCAGTCTCCCAGTGCTAGGAAAGACCATGCATGCCAAGTTTGTACGTTGCCAATTCCATGTGGGGTGGATCTGTACTTGGGAAATCTGTGCACTGTGGTCATGTGGGGCCACTGATGGGAGCCCCTCCCTCACCTCTGTGATCTGTTCCACTGTAGATCGGCATGTCCTTGAGGGTAAGGATCTCTTGCTTAAGAAAGGCTATATGGTGCCATGTAACCTCAATGGTATTGAATACCAGAATTTAAGTATTCATATTTTGTTTTCCTCCCCAGTGGGGGCTCATAGTGGCTTTCAAAAATGTAATGTAGAAAATACATATATATAGCTCCAACTCCTGAGTTGGTTCTGAATCCACTGAACCAGGTCAATTAGTGCTGTGGGCTTTGGTCTAAGAGCCAACAGTCCTTTGGCCTATACCAGAGGCTCACTTCTCCTAGGCAAAATACTTACAGCAGAGGTGCAACAGCAGCTCAGCCCAGATCTTAGACAAGTTTCTCAAAGGTGTTCCCAGCCTTCCTTATTTGACAGAAAAATAATATCATACAGCTATTGGAACAGACCAAGAACTGTTGGGTTCACTTTAATGGCATTCACACAAAAGCCAGCTATAAGCATTTAGGGAGAAGTGATGTGGTCCCTCTTAATAAGGCAGAAAAGGGAAGCTCCTGCCTTCTTTGGAGGTGGTGGGTGGAGCACTGACCAAAGCACAAGTTTTAAGAGTATACCTTTCCCTTGAAGTATTATCCCTTTGGACACAGGAGTCATTCCTTTGCAAATCCAAGTATGTGTCCTGGATAAATTAGTAATACAAAGATGCAAACCCTAAACGACAGCAGCGGTCTTCTTGACACCGAAGAGTTACCCATCGACACTGTGAGGATGTATATTGCTGTGACAGGAGTGTAGACAGGCAGAATTGCCTTTGCAGCTTTGCTTAGTGCCTGGTGGAAAAAAAGAAGTAGACCCTGTGTGTTCTAACAAAACAAAAGTGACAATTATTTCTAAGTGTGGGAACCTACAGTTTTCATCAGAGAGTTTTGCATGCCTCATTTGGAAATTCTGTGTAACATTTGTACTAACCAAAGGGATGTATGGGGAAAATGTCACTATTTATCATGGTTATTAATCACATGTGTATTAGTTGTTCTTCTAATGTAGTGATTCAATGGAATAAACGCAAAACGATTCATATTTCTTGTAACATTCTTTTTATTCAGATACTGAATCTTAATCAAGTTATCATCTTCATCTGTGACCCTGTCTCGTATATGGGAGGAATTATTTTTCATTAATAGGTTTTGTGAAGGTTTTCTTTCCTCGCTGTGATTGCTTGATGGTTTATGTTCAGATTAAGACATGCTGAGGCCCTAAACTAGGCCTCTCATAATCTCTGGCCATGCGCTGTATTTTATTTCGTTTGTGCATAAATGCAGCTGTTTGTGGTAGGTCTTAGAATGGTGGCTTTATGTCCTTTTTTGTTTGGTGCACAAGGAGGAAAATGTGTAGAGTCACATGGTGTAAGTATGTAAACCCATCTATGTGACATTACTTGACAAAATATCAATGATACTGTTATTGTTGTGTTAGGTATAAGTTCTTCCTGTCGCCATCCCTGAATCCGGATTGCTGTGTTGGGCTACTATAAATTTAACAAATCTCTTGACTGGGAGCCAAGGAAGGTTTTTTAGTGTATTTAAAGGCAAAGAGTTAGATGAAAAAAAAAATGTCATGGTGATGGATGTAGTGGGTTGCCATCTATAGAATATAGCAGCCTTAGGATTGTCTTCAGATGGATCCTTTCTTGTGGTTTGCACTTGAATGTAAATTTCTGCTTCACCCACGAGCAGTTAATACTGTATTTTGTGATGTGGAGGGCTCTGGAGAGGCAGCATATGTATTTTCTAAATAACTAAATATGGTGTTATGCTAACCAGTAGCTAGTTCAGAAAAAAAAATGATTTTGAGTGTGTACTGAGCATATTGCTGTGACCTGAATAGCCCAGGCTAGCCCTATCACATCAGATCTTGGAAGCTAAGCAAGGTCAACCCTGGTCAGAGTTTGAATGGGAGACCAGCAAGGAATACCAGAGTTGTTACACAGAGGCATGCACTGGCAAGCCACTTCTGAACGTCTTTTGACTTGAAAACCTATAGGTTTGGCTGTAACTTGACATAAAAAAATCCAGGCATGCTTACCATGTCATATTATTTTAGAGCCAATGCAAGGAGAAAATAAAATAGCCGCATCAGTCACTAATAGATAAAAAATAAGGCCCAGGCCGATGGTGCGAGTAAAGTAAAAATATATTTTATTGGTGGTGGTGGTGGTGGTGGTGGTGGAAACTGCCGTCAAGTCACGGCCAAATAGTGATCTGTGTAGGGTTTTCAAGGCAAGAGATGAACAGAGGTGGTTTGCCATTGCCTGCCTCTGCATAGCAACCTTATTCTTCCTTGGTGGTCTCCCATCCCAAGTACTAACCAGGGCCAACCCTACTTAGCTTCCAAGATCTGATGACCCCAGAGTCAGCCTGGGCCATTATTACTCAGTTAAAATTCCCTAAGCATTTTGCCAATGGACTTCTTCAGGGGAACCTGTAATATGCAAATACATTACAGCATTTTCATAAATAGCAGTGGTTATTTAGTTGAAATTATACAAATAAATAAAGCATTGTGTTAAAATCAAATTATGGTTTGTGCAGCTTAATATCAACCAGGTACAAAATTATTAAGTACTAGCCTGATACCTGTGCTTCGCTATGGTATTTAAGTTCCGTAAATCCAGTTATAATACTGATGATGTGAAGTTTGAAATGTGACATTTGTTGAAGGAATTCTAGTGGAGAAAATTGTAGTGTAAGAAATGAAGTGAGACATACGTACTCCCCCCCCCCCACAAAGGAGCTCTCTCTAGATCACACTGGTGGTTCTGCCCTCAGGTGCTAGGATCACCAGGCTGCTTGATGAGATCGCTCTGGAGCAGGCAACATAGAACTGTCCATTTAAGAAGCAGTCTCTACTTGTGGCCTCTCTACTTGCGTTCCTGGATTGTTTTGCTCATATTGAGACTGTGTTGTTCTGAGCACCTCAGGGTGATCTTGCTGGTACTTGGCCTGCGCAGCTCAGTGCACTGCAGGAGTACTATGTGCAAATGTCTTTGCCGCATTCCTAAGTTGCCTCCTCCTGGCAACTGCCTGTCCAGTGTAGGAGGGGGAGGAGTATTAGAAGCCACTGTGGAGGCTGGGCTGGCAGGATCACTAAGGCGTTACTGCTGGGGTGGGCTCCCTCATGGCTTTAAGCACCCTGCGACAGCTGCTGCATCTGACAGGCAAACGCCTGTTTGGTGTAAGGTGGGTGGAGTGTGTTGGAAGCCATCAGAGAGGCTGGGTCAGCAGTACCGCTAAGGTGATCCTGCTGAGGCAGCGTCCCTGATGGATTAAAGTACTCTGGTGGGCTCCCTCGGGGCTTTAAGCACCCTGCAAATGGTGCTGTACCTGACAGACAACCGCCTGTTAGGTGTGGGAGGTGGGGGGAGTGTGTTGGAAGCCATCAGAGAGGTTGGGCCAGCAGCTTTGCTTCACCTCACAGGTGGTTGGCCGTTCCTGATTTCCTCAGCTGTCATTAGCTCTCTGCAGTCCCCTGTAACTGTTGCTTTTTTACCTCAGAACACTGAGCTCTGCAGCTGACCTATTGGAGAGTGGGGGGCGCAGGGAGCCAGTAGCCTGGCAGCCACATAGGAATCAATGGGGGGAGCACATTTTACCCCTTTTGACCCCCTTAGGGGTCGAATTTATAAAAATCTCTTCTTAGTGAGCACCTACGCCATGGTAGGAGCGCTTTCTCTGAATTTGGTCTAGGTTCAGCGGTTTGGCCTGGGTGTTGATTTTATGGTGAGGGGACTTTCTTTTATATATATATAGATGATGGCTTGAGCTTATTCTGTCCTTATGACAGCATGGAGGAAAATATGCAGTATGAACTATTTCATCAACCTTTTAGGTGAGAAAAATATATTCTAAAGAATTTTACAACATGTAACTCTACATAGGTGATATATATCAGTCCGTGCCCCGTAATAAACTTTATGTTGTAAATACAAGAATGTGCATATCAGAACACATAAAAATATATTAAATTGAAAAGAACAAGTGCCCCATTGGCTGAATGTAATTGAAAACAATCACGGTCCCTCTTACTTTACCTTTTGGGCGGTACAAAAATTACCTTGTCCAAATGAGGAGTTGCTGTTGAAAAAAAGAAGCTGATTGGATCATCACACTCTAGACCCTGGCACCTAAAGGGTTAAATTTGTCTCTGGAATTACATCCACTTATGTAAAATAGACAGATATTACGTCAGCTAAACACTGGTATATACTAAAGTCCTTCCTTTGGCAGTTGCTACTGATCTTGTGTTCATGTTGAAGAAACACTGCAAGACTAATAGGTTTGTAACATTCATATAGGGAGAAGAAAGATTCTTTTAAAATTGAGCCAAAGCCTGTTGGGTGCCAGACGGTTTATCTTAATTCTCCTATGAACGGCGAGTTTTTCTCTCTCTCCCTTATTTTTTCCATGCAATAGTTTGGTACCCAGTTGATATTATAATGTACACATTGTAATTTGATTTTCAACAGAATGCTTTATTTATATAGTTTCAATTAAATAACCACTGCTGTTTTTGAGAACTTAGTAATGTGTTTGCATATTATATATTACAGACTTCCCTGAAGAATTTTAACTATACAATAAAAATATGTATTTTACTTTATTTGTGCCATTGGCCTTTTTTAATCTCTAGAGCTGATGCTGCAAGTAAGTGCAAATGGCGTTCTTGTATTGTTTTCCTAGTCTCTTCTTTCTTCTTGCATTTAAACTGTTTAGAGACATAATGAGTCCAGAGAAGTATGCTTTAATCATCTAAGTGAATTGGCGCTAATACTTTTTTCTTCTGTGGTGGGTCTATTATCTCCTCCCCACCCTGTTCCTTGCTGAAAATGTTCTTGTGGCAGTGTTATGAAAAGCATCCTTCTTGCTTAACAGCAAAATTAAAGCCATGGTATTGGTCAACTGTATTGTTGCCTTTCAGAAAATCATGCCTTTTTTGGGCCAGGACTGGCGGTCTCCTGGGTGGAGGTGGATTAAAACAGAAGATGGTTGGAAGAGATGTGAGCCTTGCAGTTCAGAACTTGAGGATGAGAACAATAAGCTTAATAACATCAGTCATACTATGTAAGTTTCCTTGGGGGAGGAGAAAAGACTGGTGGTGGGCCTTCTCATGGGCTGAATTTGTAATATGTGGAGGATGCTGAAAACTATCTCTGTTTATCTGTTCTGTGCTATCATTTACTTGCTTGTTTGTTTGGAGTGGTTATATTGTACCTTTCCACCATAACAGGGAATTTATTTAAAGAGGCAATCTGTTCAAAATTAAAGACAGACCCTTCCCCCAATTGCCAGGAACAGAGAACAGCATCACTTCTTAAGCATAGTCACACAAAACATTGGGGTTTTGCCATATAAAAGTGAAAAGGTGTCAGAGTTTCTTGGAGAAGAGCCACTACAAGCCCTATCGTATGTTTGTTGAAATTTGTTTTATTTTAAGTGGTACTTGGAGTAGAACCCCTAAGGATTATCTGAATGAATGGGCAAGTCCAGATAAGAGAAGATCTTTCAGGTACCTTTGAACTATTCCATTCAGGGATTAATGCGTCTATTGAAACTGTATGGTGAGCTGAGGTAGATGCTGCAGATTCATCAGGGATTTGGAGCCAATGCCAAAGCCATTTCACCACCTCCATTTCCAGGTGCTAAAAACTACAAAATGTCAGACACAGAAGAGGAGATGGATGGAGCATGACCACAGGGTTTCAGATGATTGCTCTTAGCACTCCACAATTAAGGAGGATACATTTACACATCTATCACCAATTTTGACATATTTCTTTGCCTCAGTGTTTTTCCACCAGAATCAAATCCAAACAATGATGACCTTATAAATTTAGCTTGTTATACTTGTTTGCATCTGTTAAAACCTTTCATTATATTGTATGCTAATTTGCTGTTCAACCTCTGTCTTATATGTATGGACTGGTAAGCTCCATTTCATTGTGTCTGAGGAAGTGTGCTTTGCACACGAAAGCTCATACCTTGAATAAAACTTTCATGGTCTTAAAGGTGCCACTGGACTCCAACTTTGTTTTTAAAACTGTCGTTTGAGGAGGAGAGTGTAATGGTGAATCGTTAAGGTACCCTTAACTTTGGCATAAGAAGATGACAACTGAATGATTGTGGATTTATCTATGAAATGGAAAATGTAGACTTAAACCTCAGGGTTATAGGCACAATAATCTTTTCTGGAATAACACATTTTTAGGCTTCAGTACATTATTTTAAATTTTCCAAATAGCTACAAATAAGGTAGAAGACTCAGGTTGACTTGGTAAAATTAGGTAGTGGCATGTTGCGGCTGAATTGCTCAACATGCTCTGAGGATTGTAGAATAATACCTGACTAGTATATAGAAGTGATTTTAAAATATTAGTGCAATGATGCAGTCAGTACATATCTTGTGGGGAAAGGACACCTGTTTTGTGAGTGCAGCTGAAAGCTGCTCTTATATTAGACAACCAGTAGTATGGCATTCAGGAGTAATATAACAGCCTAATTATCTGATACAGTGTTGCCATGGGGACTCCACTGTTTTAAATATAAGGTGAGCTTTTATACCTATGTTGTTAAAATCTAGGTTAATGCTGTTAAAAGCTTGAAATTGCAGGTTGGCATGACTCATTACATGATCTTCACCAAATGGGCAAAAGATTTCAGCCCTAGAAGCTGAAGTGGCAGAGATGACAACTGAATATTTGCATAGATAAAGTCAAGCATTCTTTCCATCTCTTGAATCTGGGCTCATATGTGCTTTTTGCAGGCACAAAAAGCACAAGGATAAAGTCCCACACATTTCTGCCGGAGTGTGTTGTCAGCAGTAAAACGGATGTTTCAGTCATGGGATGCTCTTCTTTTTGGCCCCTAGGTTGTCTGTGAGGGATTCTAGAATGGTTGCAGCTGAGCCTTTAGTACACTGCTTAGTCCCGGAAGTGTGCTAGGTGCTTGTAGAATCCTACAGGAGCTGAGTTCCTGCCTAGGTGGCAGATGGGTGGCTATGATGGACCAAAATGGTAGGGGAGGTGGTTCAAGAAGGGTACAAGGAATGTTTCTAAGGAAGAGAGGGAGAATAGTAGGCAGACTGAGTCATACCAGTTCCTAGGCTTTCTTCCAGTTGCTGATATTGGAGCTAGACAATGGCTGCCTAGATGGAGCCTGCCTTCTTGCTCAAGTTATGTTATGACTTGGTTACATCAAGCTGTAGAGAAAGGCATTATGATTGGTTGGACTGGGCAATGCTAGCTTTCTCTGCCACATCTTTCTTGTTGGTTTTGGCCATGCTGTATGGTGGAGCTGTTGTCCTGTAGGGTGGGTGAAGCTGCAGCTGTGGCAGTTTTAACTATAGCTCCACCCACATCTCTGGATTGCTGGCTGATCTGATAGGGTGGCTTGACGACAGTGCTGTGGATCTTTTATGCTTAGGCTTTCTGCAGTATATTCGCAAGATTTTCTTTGGACCCTCTGGCCCAAGTACTCCATAGCCAGTGTCTTCTCACATGAACAGATGAAGTAGCCTTATACTGTCAGACTGTTGGACTGTTCTAGGTCTTGAAGACATCTCCTACCTTTTGGTTATACAATTGTTCATCTGATTTCAGATTATTGTTTTCATCTAGCAGCTCTTCATATCTAACTTTCCTCCTTTCCTCCATCAATGTTGACATCGTTGCCACTTCCATTGGTGCCACCCATTTGGGTGTTTTTATGTAATGTCTCAATTTAGCTTCTTTCCAGATTTCCATTAGTGCTCCCCTTAAGGTGTGATTTGTAAAGTTCTTAGGTAGTTTTCCGTCTTCATACCAAACGTACTTGTGCCACCCTACGCCCAGGTTGTTTCCTTCAAGAGATAGCAGTCTAGAGTCTTCCAGCAGTATCCAGTCCCTTATCCACGTCAATGCTGCTGCCTTGTAGTACAAATTCCAATTAGGTACTCCAAATCCTTCTGTTTCTTTTTTGTCCTGTAAATATTTCCTGTTAATTCTTGGTTCATTTTTCTGGCACAAAATATACCAATTTTAAGGAAATTCAATTACTTTAAAGACTTTGAGAAGATATGTAGTAAATTCATATGGGAGAATAAAAAACCAAGAATTAACAGGAAATATTTACAGGACAAAAAAGAAACAGGAGGATTTGGAGTACCTAATTGGAATTTGTACTACAAGGCAGCAGCATTGACGTGGATAAGGGACTGGATACTGCTGGAAGACTCTAGACTGCTATCTCTTGAAGGAAACAACCTGGGCGTAGGGTGGCACAAGTACGTTTGGTATGAAGACGGAAAACTACCTAAGAACTTTACAAATCACACCTTAAGGGGAGCACTAATGGAAATCTGGAAAGAAGTTAAATTGAGACATTACATAAAAACACCCAAATGGGTGGCACCAATGGAAGCGGCAACGATGTCAACATTGATGGAGGAAAGGAGGAAAGTTAGATATGAAGAGCTGCTAGATGAAAACAATAATCTGAAATCAGATGAACAATTGAATAACCAAAACGTAAAATTTTCGTGGTGGGAGAAGACTCAGTTACAGGCGATATATAAGACGGATAAGAAAAAAGGATTTTATAAGGGAAAAAACGAACTGGACAAGATCTGGCTGTCCTCTAGCGATAAGCTTATTCAAAAATTATATAAGCTGCTGATGGAAGAATATATGATGGCAGAAATGGTGAAAAGAACAATGGTGACGTGGTCTAAAGACTTAAACTATATGCCAGAATCAGAACAATGGGTGGAACTATGGGAATCAATAAAGCTAATGCGGGCAATACCCTATAAAGAGAACATATACAAAATGTTCTACAGGTGGCACTGGACACCAGAGAAGATAGCCAAATCTTATGTAGTGACTAATAAGAATTGTTGGAAGTGCAAAAAAAATGTCGGCACATTTATGCATATGTGGTGGAGGTGTGATATTGTACAAAGATACTGGGAAAAGGTTTTCCGAATGTTAAAAGAAATAATAGAATTACCGGTACCTTTCAAACCAGAGACAGCTTTATTAAACATGATCCCAGACATGTACTATAGTACAGAGAAATATGTAATTATATACTTCCTTACGGCAGCAAGAATACTGCTAGCTAAACGATGGAAAGATGAGAAAGTACCTTCAGAAAATGAATTAATCGAAAAAATGATGGGTTTAGCAGAAATGGATAGATTAACTTTGAGATTACAAGGAAAAGATAAGGAGATATTTGAAAATCGATGGAAACCATTTTATATATGGATTGATAATGTAATTAGAAAAGACTCACAAGGATAAAAAATGTAAGACGAATGCTGTATGTAAATTACGGAAAATGTTAAATAAACGGTTTAAAAAAAAAAAAGACATCTCCTACCTGAGATCCTTGGATTAGCAATTGGTCTTGGAAATTATACTTACAAGGCACGTACACTCCCAGCAACCTTTGGTTCCCTGGCAGGCTGCAGTTGCTGCGGACTTTGCCTCCTATTGAGAGAGAGAGAGATTGGATTTATACCCCGCCCTTCACTTGGAGTCCCAGAGCGGCTTACAAACGCCTTTCCCTCCCCCTCCCCACAACAGACACCCTGTGAGGTGGGTGGGGCTGAGAGAACTCTGACACAAACGGCTCTTTTTCAAGGACAGCTGTGCCAGACCTTGTGACTGACCCAAGGTCACATCAGCAGGTGCAAGTGGAGGAGTGGGGAATCAAACCCAGTTCTCCCAGATTAGAGTCCGCGCACTTAACCACTACACCAAACTGGCTCATATAGGAGTATTATGGAAATCTGAAATGTTAAAGATACTGATATATAAAGTCTTGCTTTGTATTTTTACTGAACTCCAGGAAAACATTGTGATATCTTGTTTTGTTTTATATACAACTTGTATTTTGCTTTCCTACATAATTTTGTGTCCCTAGCAAATTGTACATTTTAAATAGGAATATTCAATAATTTGCTTGTTTGAAATATAAATTAGACAGAATTTAGAAAGATACAGAAATGTCATTCCATGAGGAAAAATTCTTCACCCAGAAGAAGGAAGGGGAGAAGCAGCTTCACAGTTCTTATCCCAACT